GACCACGAAACAATGGGCAAGTGGGTCCCCGAGCACCAACTGGAGGAGATCGCCGCGGACCCGCAGTTGGCGACGCTCCTCAGCGCCACCGCCTCCAGAGACCAGCCATGAGTGACGCCTTCCGAACCTTCCCCTCCCTCCCTGCCCTTCTCCATTCCTGTTCCTGCGTTCCCTCCTCGTCCTTTTCATTCCCTCTGATGTGGGTCGGGGAGGGCTGGGTCGAAATGTTGGTTGGGAGGTAAGCGACGAGCTCTAAACCAGAATAGTCGGCCACAGCCTTGCAGGCGCGACCCGCCCAGCGAATGGCCCAACAGGACAATCATTCGCATTCCCACTGCACACCAGTTTTAGGTCGGGCATGTCCTCCCACAGGCGGAGTTTGGACGGCAAATGAAAAACAAATCCAACCATATCCTGGCGAAGGAGCCAACCATATGCAGTTGTGAGTGCCGCATTTGTGCATTTCTTCTTCGGTGAAGCTCCGTATGGGGCCACGAAGCGCTGCACTAGGTGGGGGGAACGCATGCGGGCGGTAGCACTGGGGGCGTCGGTGGAGCTCCCTATGGGGCCACGAAGCGCTGCACTGGGTGGGTGAAAATGCCAAATTGGGTGTGGGGGACGCATGCGGGCGGTCCCACTTGGGGCGTCGGTGGAGCCCCCTATGGGGCCACGAAGCGCTGTACGGGGTGTGCGGGACGCAAGCGGGCGGTAGCACTGGGACCTTCGGCGGGGCTCCCTATGGGGCCACGAAGCGCTGTACTGGGTGGGGGGGACGCATGCGGTCGATAGCACTGGGACCTTTGGTGGGGCTCCGTATGGGGCCACGAAACGCTGTACTGGGTGGGGGAGACGCAAGCGGGCGGTAGCACTGGGACCTTCGGCTGGGCTCGCTAGGGGGCCACGAAGCGCTGCACTGGGTGGGTGAAAATGTTAAATTGGGTGTGGGGGACGCATGCGGGCGGTCCCACTTGGGGCGTCGGTGGAACCCCCTATGGGGCCACGAAGCGCTGTACGGGGTGTGCGGGACGCAAGCGGGCGGTAGCACTGGGACCTTCGGCGGGGCTCCCTATGGGGCCACGAAGCGCTGTACTGGGTGGGGGGGACGCATGCGGTCGGTAGCACTGGGACCTTTGGTGGGGCTCCGTATGGGGCCACGAAACGCTGTACTGGGTGGGGGAGACGCAAGCGGGCGGTAGCACTGGGACCTTCGGCTGGGCTCGCTAGGGGGCCACGAAGCGCTGTACTGGGTGTGCGAGACGCATGCGGACGGTAGCACTGCCACGCAACTGTGAGGGGTGTGCTGAAACGGGTGATGATGATGGTGATGATGATGATGATGGTGATGATGGTGATGATGATGAAGATGATGATTATGATGATGATGATGATGATGATGATGGTGATGATGATGATGATGATGATGATGATGATGATGGAGGAGGGAGGAGGGAGGAGGGAGGAGGGGGAGGTTGGAGAGTCTGGGGGAGGGAGGAGGGGGAGGAGGAGGAGGAGGAGGAGGAGAATGCGGGGACCGTTATGTCAAAACGAAGACCTAACACCACAGGATGGTTGGGAAATCTGCAAAAAAATCGTCAACTTATCCTGGCGAAGGTCCCAGCCATATGCAGTTGTGGGTACCGTAATTGTGAATATCTGCTTCGGTGAAGCTCCCTATGGGGCCACGAAGCGCTGCACTGGGCGGGGGGGAAGGCTGTACTGTGTGGGTGGTGTGCCGAATTGGGTTTCCGGGACGCATGCGGGCGGTCCCACTGAGGGCTTCGGTGGAGCTCCCTGTGGGGCCACGAAGCGCTGTACTGAGTGAGTGAAAATGCCAAATTGGGCTTCCGGGACGCATGCGGACGGTCCCACTGGGGGCTTCGGTGAAGCCCCCTATGGGGCCACGAAGCGCTGCACTGCGCAGGTGAAAATGCCAAATTACATTTCCCGGACGCATACGGACGGTGGCACTGGGGCCTTGGGCGGAGCCCCCTATGGGGCCACGAAACGCTGCACTGGGTAAGTGAAAATGCCAAATTGGGTTTCCGGGGCCATGCGGACGGGGGCACTGGGGCCTTCGGTGGGGCTGGGCCACGAAACGCTGTACTGGGTGTGCGGGACGCATGAATCGCTGTACTGGGTGTGCAGGACGCATGCGGACGGTAGCACTGGGACCTTCGGTGGGGCTTCCTATGGGGCCACGAAACGCTGCACTGGGTGGGTGAAACGCAAGGAAGAGGGGGAGGAGGGCCACGAAACGCTGTACTGGGTGTGCGGGACGCGTGCGGACGGTGGCACTGGGACCTTCGGTGGAGCTCCCTGTGGGGCCACGAAACGCAGCACTGGGTGTGCGGGACGCATGCGGACGGTAGCACTGGGACCTTCGGTGGGGCTCCCTATGGGGCCCCGAAATGCTGTACTGGGTGTGCGGGACGCATGTGGACAGTAACACTGGGACCTTCGGTGGAGTTCCCTATGGGGCCACGAAGCGCTATACTGGGTGGGTGAAACGCAGGGAGGAGGCGGAGGAGGGCCACGAAACGCTGTTCTGGGTGTGCAGGACGCGTGCGGACGGTAGCACTGGGACCGTAGGTGGGGCTCCTAATATGTGGCCACGAAACATTGTACTGGGTGGGTGAAACGCAAGGAGGAAGGGGAGGAGGGAGGAGGAGGAGGAGGAGGGAGGAGCGGGAGGAGAAGGGGGAGGAGGTGGAAGAGGAGGAGAACGCGGGGCGACGTCTCTTCAAAACGAGGACCCAACACCACAGGATGGTTGGGAACAAAGATTCCCCAAAATAGTCCCCAGAGTATTTTCTTTTTTTTTGAAAATTCATCCTGTAGAGAGACACGCCCGACTTAACACCAGTTCTGCAAGAGCCATCCCTTCACTCGTTTTCCTCCCCTCCATCCCCCATGGGACACCAACCATTGGTGGCGATCGCAAAAAGGGGGTCCAACCCCGGCTTCTGCTGTCAAGCCCGCCATGCACTTCTTCCGATCAGGGGGAAACGTCACTTGGTCAGGAGGGCTTTGGGTGATCCGCGGCGAGCTTTGAAACACGGGTGCAGCCATGCCTGCGACACGCCACCAGCCCCAGTCACCGTTGCATCGCCACGCCCGTTCAGCTCGCGTGTTAATCCCCTTGGCTCCCCCTCCCCCACTCGCCTTGCTGTTCCCCTCCATCGTTTCCTGAGTCCCTGGATTCAGGAACCCGATGAGGAGACGGACCCCGCCGCAGCTATCAGGGGCCAGCGTCTGTGGCCCGGAAGCCCCCCCCCCCCCGCCCGGAGCCCCCCTCCCCGGGGAGAGATCTGGGGGCTCTCCGGGCTCGGGCGGCCCCTCCTCGCCAGCCCTCTCTCGCGCCTCTCCTCTTGCTCCTCTCTTGCCCTCGCCCCCCTTGCCTTCGGCCCCCCCCCCTCTCTTGTTGCATTCGCCCCCCCCCCCCCCCCCCCTCTTGTCCTCGTCCCTTGCCTTCGCCCCCCCCCCCCCCCCCCCCTCTTGTCCTCGTCCCCTTGTTCGGCCCCCCCCCCCCCCCCTCTTGCCCTCGCCCCCCTTGCTTCGCCCCCCCCCCCCCTTCGACTACGAGGCCCGCCGCGTGCCGCGGCACGCCGCTGCCGGGCACCCCTCGTACGCGGGGGACCCGGCTGCTTATAGTTTGACCACCCCCCCAGGGCGGACCAGCCCTGGGGGGGCGGGGCTTCGTCCGAGGATGTCAGGAGCCAGGAACCAGGAGGAGGAGAAGGGCGAGGAAGAGAAGGAGAAGGAGGGGGAGGAGGAGGAGGAGGAGGAGGAGGAGGAGGAGGAGGAGGAGGGAGAGGAGGAGGAGGAGAGGAAGAGGAGGAAGAGGGGAGGAGAGGAGGAGGGCGAGGAGGAGGAGGAGGAGGAGGTCGAGGAGGAGGAGGAGGAAGAGCACCCGACGAGTTAGCGCAGCAGGTCTGCCATCACACCTCTGGCAAGCAGCACTCGGGCACGCCCTTGCGCAGCCTTGGCTGCGAAGCTGCAGCTCTGTCCTCCCTGGCGACGGCGCGAGTTGAACGTGGAGAATATTTGATCGATGGCGACGGCACTGGCATGCATATACTGGGGAGCGAGCGGGCAGAGAGACGAGGATGGCCACAAGTGCGGAAGGAAGCAAACGGGCGCCCAATGTCCCCATTCTAGTGGCAGTGGCGTCATCAGCTGTCTGATGACGGGGACAATGACTGGGCATTCAAAATGATGGGTGATGCAATCGGCACCGAGGTTGCAACACCCGAAGACACAGTATGAGGATGGCTGCCTAAAGCGTTTACTTGTGGGCCAGGCATTGAACACGGTTCTGTGTATGACGGACGTACTTATGGGAGGAGGAGGAGGAGGAGGAGGAGGAGGAGGAGGAGGAGGAGGAGACGGGGCTGAAGGAGGAGGAGGAGGAGAGGAGGAGGAGGAGGAGTAAGAGAACGAGGGAGGGAGAGAGGGAGGGAGGCAGGAGGAGGAATGAGGAAGGAGGAGGGAGGAAGGAGGAGGACGACGAGGAGGGGAGGAATAAAAGCGAACGAGCGAGCGAACGCCCATCCGGCTCTATTGAGATCAGAGCCGCGCCCACTTAGGCGGGAACAGAAACGCCGTAGCCTCAGGTCGGGTATGTCCCCAATGCAGGCGGATTTTGGACGAAAAATAAAACATAGTCAACCATGCCTCAAACATGCTCATAAATAATGAAACATCGTCCCCTGACTATTTTGCAGTAGTTTTGAATCTTCGTCCTGTAGAGGGACAGGCCCGACTTAATCGTAGCCCTCGGATCAGCATTTGAGAGGAGGGCGAGGAGTAGGAGGAGGAGGAGGAGGAAGAGGAGGAGGAGGAAGAGGAGGAGGAGGAGGGGAAGAGGGGGGGGGAGGAGGGGCAGGAGGGCAAGGAGGGAGGAGGAGGAGCTGGAGGAGGAGGAGGAATAGAAGGAGGAGCACGAGGAAGAGGAGAAGAAGAAGGAAGGAGGAGGAGAAGTTCGTCTCCCCCCCTGGCGCCTCCCGCGCTCCCGCGCATCGCGTGTCCCACTGGGCAGGCGGGCACGGCGCCGACGCCACCCCTGCGGAGCGCCTCCCCGAGCGCTGCCGCGGCGGAGCGGTGCGCGTCCTGTGTGGCGGGGGCCCGTGCGGCCAGGCCCCAGTGCGATCACAGGGGGGGGGGGGGGTTGGGGATCAGTCGCTCCTACTCCTCCTCCCCTCTCATTCCCTCCTCCTCATCATCCTCCTCCTCCTCCTCCTCATTTCTCCTCCCTCCTCCTTTCTCCACCTTCTCCTCCTCCTCCACCACCTTCCTCCTTCTACTGCTCCTCCTGCTCCTCATTTTTCCTCTCCTAGTTCTGCTTTCCTGCTTTTGCCTCCTCCTTGCTCTCCTGCTTCTCTCCAGCTCCTGTCCTGCTCTGCTCCGTTCTTGCTCCCTGCTCTGCTCCCTCTCCTCTCCCTCTCCTCCTGCCTCCCTCCTCCTCCTCTTTCCTCCTCCTCCTCCTCCTCCTCCTCCTCCTCCTCCTCTGCCCGAAACGGCCATGGCAGGGCCCCGTGCGACCAGGCTCCGATGCAGCCACATTTGTGGTTTCCTACACCAAGCGGAGATCACCACCCTGATCCATCTGCACTGCCAGAGTCCGACTGCGCCACTGCGCGAGATGGAGGAGTGCATGGCCAGCGACCGACAGGAAACGAGAAAGTGTGGGAGGGGGGGGGGGCGGATGAGAATCGGCGGCACCGCCAGCCCCAGTGCATGGAGCTCCTTCTCCTCCTGCTCCTCCTTCTCCTCCTCTCCTGATGATCCTCCTCCTCCTTTTCCTCGATCCCTCCTCCTCCTCCTCCTCCTCCTTCCTCCACCTCCTCCTCCTCTCCTCTCCTCCTCCTCCTCCATCCTCCCTCCTCCTCCTCCTCCTCCTATCCCTCCTCCTCCTCCTCCTTCCTCCTCCTCCTCTCCACTCCTCCTCCTCCTCCTCCTCCTCCTCTCCTCCTCGTCCCGCCTCCTACCATTCCTCCTCCTCGTCGGCGTCCTCCTCCTCCTCCTCCTTCCTCGTCCTCGTCGTCGTCCTCTCTCCTCCTCTTCCTCCTCCTCCTTCCTCTCCTCCCCCTCCTCCTCCCCGTCCTCCTCCCCCTTTCCCCGTCCTCCTCCTCCTCCTCCTCTTCTTCTCCTCTCCTCCTAATCCTCCTCTGGCTCATTCGCTGCTCCCTCCTCTCTCCTCCGTCCTGCCCTCCTGCTCCTGCTCCTGCTCCTGCTCCTCTGCTCCTGCTCCTGCTCCTGCTCCTCCTCCTCCTCCTCCTCCTCCTCCTCTTCCTCGTTTTCTTCTCCCCCCCCCCCTCTTGCTCGTGCCCTTCGCTCGCCGGGGCGCTTCACCGCGCCCCGTCCTGGAGACACTCAGCGGCCAGGATGGCGGCGTCGAGTTCGGACGCCAGGCCCCTCGGCAAGACGTGCACGGAGCGCGTGTCCAACTCGCACACCGAGCCGCTCTTGTAAGGGAGCGGACAATGACATAAACATATCAACTCGGAGGTCCGCGCGGGTTTCTCGGATCGGCGCTGGGGCCCCATGGCGGCGCCCCCGGCGCCGCCCCGGGCGCGCTCCGCGCGCCAGGGAGGGGGGTCCAGCGCTGATCCGAAAAATCCGCGAGGACCTCCACGTTTCTATGTTTATGTCATTTTTCGTTCCCCTATCTTCGGCCCCGCGCGGGGGGGGCGCAGGACCCAGGAGTGGAGGCGTTCCTGCCGGGTCTCCCCAAATCCCGCGCCGTTGTGCAAGCATCGCGGCGGGGGGTCTTTGACCGTGTTCGGCCCCTGGGGGCCCTCGCCAGGCCCAAGGACCGTCTTAAAGCGACCAGGATGGAACCATTGGTCCTTGGGAGGGGGCCCGGACCTCCTAGGGCCCACGCCGTAAGAAAAAAACATATGACGTCGGATATCTAGGTTCCACATCATAGCCATCGCTCGGGCCCCCACTCCCCGTGCACTTTTCGTTTCCGTGCGTTGCCTTTTTTTCGCGGGATGATCCAGGATGCCCCTCGATGGTCCTCGCCAGGAGAAAAAATAGCCATACGAAAAACCCAACCATATGCAGGTGTGAGTACCGCAGTTGTGTTTCACTTTTCGGTGGTGATCCCTACGAGGCAACGAACCGTGCTAGGGGTGTGCCGAAATGAGTGGAGTGGCACACGACGCGAACGAAAACGATTGATCTGAGTACGTAGGGGGAGTGGGCGCGGGCGAATCTGAGCGCGAGGGCGTCTGACTGTGAATGAATCTGCGTGCGAGCTAGTCTCAAGCATGAACGCGAGTATGACAAAGCATGGTGTACTTGTATATGAATGTCAATAATTGAGAATGACTGCCTCTGGGTACACGTGACGCTGGGCGTGGCCGCCGCGAGGAGCTTCCCCGGGACTCCCCGACGGCATCGCCCGTGCGCTGCGACGCCAATGTCGGCGCGCCCCCCCGCGAGGATCGCGCCCGCTTCCTCCCTTTTTTTTTACTCCCTCTTTGCCCGCGCACTCAAAAGTCCAAGGCTGCGGGCGCAGCGCAGCGCGGGGTCCCCGCGACGCGCGCAGGTCGCCCCGGACGGGTCCCAGCGACGCGCGCGGGTCGTCCGCTGCGCGGAGAAAAGAGAGCTAGCTGGCTGGCTGATAGCGGGCAAACCTCTCGCCACTGGACAGAGCGACGACGGGCGAGCGAGGCGCTGGGCAGAACGCAGCACGGAGTCCCGGCGACGCGCGCCGGTCGCCTCGGAGGGGTCCCAGCGACGCGCGCGGGTCGTCCGCTGCGCGGAACAAAGAGAGCTAGCTGGCTGGCTGATAGCGGGCAAGGCTTTCGCCGCTGGGCAGAGCGACGACGAGCCAGCGAGGCGCCGGGCAGAACGCAGCGCGGAGTTCCTGCGACGCGCGCTGGTCGTCCGCGGCGCGAGGCCAAACAATTAGTCAGACCGTCGAGAGACGGCGAGGCTCGGGCGGGCCGCCCCTCAGATCAAGCCTCGCGGATAAACTCGGTGAAGCCCCTCCCTGGCGAAGGCCGTCGCCTCCCTCCTGCACCGCTTCGCGCGCGCAGCAAACTGCTCCAGCTGCTTCCGCAAGCCCTCCGGCGGCCCTGCCAGGAAGAACTCGATGCGCGGCGCCCGCGCGAGCAGGAGGTCCTCGTGGCGCGTGGCGCGCGAGAGCAGCACGTAAAGCCCCAGCCACCAGTCTTCGTCGTCCTTCTTGCCGTTCCCCACTTCGTGGCGGCCGCAGTGCAGGATCACGCCTGGGCGATGTCGGCCGAGGGAGCAGCGCGCTGGAAAGGCGATGGCCCAAGGCGAGAATCCACGGGGCCGAGAGAATGTCTGGCTGCGGACTGCTCGCGCCCAGCAGGTCTGGCCGAAAACTAAGCAAGGGAGACGCATGCGGACTGCGCCACGGTGACTTTCGGTGGGGCTCCATATGGGGCCACAAAACGCTGTACTGGGTGAGGGAGACGCATGCGGACTGCGCCACGGGGACCTTCGGTGGAGTTCCCTATGGGGCCACGAAGCGTGTGAGGTGTGGGCCGAAATGAATGGCGGGGACGCATGCGGACTGTGCCAGGGGGACCTTCGGTGGAGCTCCTATGGGGCCACGAAACGTGTGAGGGGTGTGCCGAAATGAATGGCGGGCACGCTCCTATGGGGGCACGAAGCGCGTGAGGGGTGGGCCGAAATCAATGGCGGGGACGCATGCGGATTGCACCACTGGGACCTTCGGCGGACTCCTATGGGGCCACGAAGCTTGTGGGGGGTGGGCCGAAATGAATGGCGGGGGCGCATGCGGACTGTGCCACTGGGACCTTCGGCGGAGCTCCTATGGGGCCACGAAACGTGTGAGGGGTGGGCCGAAATGAATGGCGGGGACGCATGCGGGCTGTGCCAGGGGGACCTTCGGCGGAGCTCCTGTGGGGCCACGAAACGTGTGAGGGGTGTCCCGAAATTAATGGCGGGCACGCTCCTTTGGGGGCACGAAGCGTGTGAGGGGTGGGCCGAAATCAATGGCGGGGACGCATGCGGATTGTACCACTGGGACCTTCGGCGGACTCCTATGGGGCCGCGAAACTTGCGGGGGGCGTGCCGACATGAGTGGCGGGGGCGCATGCGGACTGTGCCACTGGGACCTTCGGCGGAGCTCCTGTGGGGCCACGAAGCGTGCGAGGGGTGGGCCGACATGAATGGCGGGAACGCATGCGGACTGTGCCACTGGGACCTTCGGCGGAGCTCCTATGGGGCCACGAAACGTGTGAGGGGTGGGCCGAAATGAACGGCGGGGGCGCATGCGGACTGCGCCAATAGGACTGTCGGTAGAGCTCCTCCTATGGGGCCACGAAACGTGTGAGGAGCGTGCCGACATGAGTGGCGGGGACGCATGCGGACTGTGCCACTGGGACCTTCGGCGGAGCTCCTATGGGGCCACGAAGCGTGCGAGGGGTGGGCCGACATGCATGGCCGGGGCGCATGCGGACTGTGCCACCGGGACCTTCGGCGGAAATCCTATGGGGCCACGAAACGTGTGAGGGGTGGGCCGGAATGAATGGCGGGGGCGCATGCGGACTGTGCCACTGGGGCCTTCGGCGGAGCCCCTATGAGGCCACGAAGCGCTGTGCTGGGGGGGGGGGGGGGTGCATGCGGACTGCGCCACGGGGGACTTCGGTGGGGCTCCGTATGGGGCCACGAAACGCCCTACTGGGAGAGGGAAACGCATGCGGACTGCGTCACGGGGTGTACTGGGTGGGGAAGACGCATGCGGACTGCGCCACGGGGACCTTCGGCGGAGCCCCTATGGGGCAACGAAGCGCTGTACTGGGTGGGGGAGACGCATGCGGACTGCGCCACGGGGGCCTTCGGCGGAGCTCCATATGCAGCCACAAAGCGCTGTACTGGGTGGGGGAGACGCATGCGGACTGCGCCGCGGGGACCTTCGGTAGGGCTCCAAATGGGGCCACGAAGCGCTGTACTTGGTGAGGGGGACGCATGCGGACTGCGCCACGGGGACTTTCGGCGGAGCCCCTAGGGGGCCACGAAGCGCTGTACTGGGTGGGGGAAACGCATGCGGACTGCGCCACGGAGACCTTCGGTGGGGCTCCATATGGGGGCACGAAACGCTGTACTGGGTGAGGGAGACGTATGCGGACTGCGCCACGGGGGCCTTTGGCGGAGACCCTATGGGGCCACGAAGCGTTGTACTGGGTGGGGGAGACGCATTCGGACTGCGCCACGGGGACCTTCGGTGGAGCTCCCTGTGGGGCACCGAGTTGTTTGATGATGTTGATGATGCTCATGATGATGATGACGAGGATGATGACGATGAAGATGATGATGATGATGATGATGATGATGATGATGATGATGATGAGAGGAAGGGAGGAGGGAAGAGGAAGGAGGCACGCGGGGACCGTCTCTTCATTAGCCGGACGAAAAACCCAACCATATGCAGGCGTGAATACCGCAATTGTGATTCACTTCTTCGGTGGTGATCCCTGTGAGGCAACGAACCGTGCTAGGGGCGTGCCGAAATGAATGGCGTGGTACACGATGCGAACGAAAACGATTGATCTGAGTACGTAGGGAGGCTGAGCGCGGGTGAATCTGAGCGCGAGTGCGTTTGACTGTAAATGAATCTGTGTGCGAGCGAGTCTCGTGCATGAATGCGAATGCGACAAACCATGGTGTACTTGTATACGAATGTCAATCGTTTGAGAATGACTGCCTCTGAATACCCGTGACGCTGGGCGTGGCCGCCGCAAGGAGCTTCCCCGGGACTCCCCGGCGGCATCGCCCGTGCGCTTCGACGCCAATGTCTGCGCGCCCCCCCGCGAGGATCGCGCCCGCTTCCTCCTCTTCTTTTACTCTCTCTTTGCCCGCGCACTCAAAAGTCCAAGACTGCGGGCGCAGCGCAGCGCGGAGTCCCCGGGACTGCGCCACGGGGACCTTCGGTGGAGCTCCTTATGGGGCCACGACGCGCTGTACTGGGTGGGGGAAACGCGTGCGGATTGCGCCACGGGGACCTTCGGCGAAGCTCCGTATATGGGGCCACGAAGCGCTGTACTGGGTGAGGGCATGCGGACTGCGCCACGGGGACCTTCGGTTGGGCTCCATATGGGGCCACGAAACGCTGTACTGTGTGAGGGAGACGCATGCGGACTGCGCCACGGGGACCTTCGGTGGAGCCCCTTATCGGACCACGAAACGCTGTACTGGGCGGGGGAGACGCATGCGGACTGCGCCACGGGAACCTTCGGTGGCGCTTCCTATGGGGCCACGAAGCGCTGTAAAGGGTAAAGAGACGCATGCGGACTGCGCCACGGGGACCTTCGGTTGGGCTCCATATGGGGCCAAGAAGCGTTGTACTGGGTGGGGGAGACGCATGCGGACTGCGCCACGGGGACCTTCGGAGGAGCCCCTGATGGTGCCAAAAAACGCTGTACTGGGTGGGGGAGACGCATGCGGACTGCGCCACGGGGACCTTCGGTGGAGCCCCTTTTTTATGGTGCCACAAAACGCTGTACTGGGTGGGGGAGACGCATGCGGACTGCGCCACGGGGACCTTCGGTGGCGCTCCCCGTGGGGCCACGAAACGCTGCACTGGGGGGTGATGATGCTGATGTTGATGTTGATGCTGATGTTGATGTTGATGTTGATGTTGATGATGATGATGATGATGATGATGATGATGATGACGACGATGATGGCGATGACGATGACGATGACGATGACG